AGGTGATACGCCTGGTTCTTTAGATTCTTTTGGTTCGTTCCATAAGAATCAGTACCTATAGTTACCATGTCATCCATTGCATTATTTACCTCATTTGTTTTCCTATTTTCCTTAGTCATAGCAGGCACTTTATTTTGAAACTGTGTGGACCCTGTAGAATTCTATCATACATTGACCTGAATTGTATCCCTTACATTTGTTAAAGCATCATATCTAGATTTTGTAACTTTTTTAATTGTATCTAGTCATTTGGATTGCATTGAAGTCTCCCTTTGCTCAGGCTAAGAAATCTGTTTGGTTGTTATCGATAGACTATCGTCCATTGCTTCTCTCTGACCTCTTGGTTGTCACTTTCAATTTATCACCATCCATATACCAAAGCTAGTTTGATATGTTGTGCCTTCTACTTCCTTGATCTCGCCATTATTTTGTGAATCAATCTCTACAAACTGACTCCTTACTACGACCATGCCTTCCACAACTAAAGCAAATAAGCCCTAGTCCCTTATATTCAATCTGCTTAGGGATCCCCTCTAGGAGATACTCTACTTTCAAAGGTTTGGCCAAATCCAGTTCTATACAAATCTTTGCAAAACAACCCCTCACATGAGCATTTGTTGTCCCATCAATCTTAATTAGCTTCCCTAACCAGTAACCCACCCGACAGAAGAAAACTTTGTCCTAGAACTCCAGAGGGATGTCAAGTAAATGTATCTATGTAGCTAGCTATCTTTGATATGCCCTCATCATTTGGATGAAACACTAGCTTTCATTTTCATAGCGACGAATAGTACCAAGTACTACCCAGGGGCCTCCATTGAGGGCAAAATCCATATTTTCTCGATTACTAAACTAGACCACATAGAACTCACTCCCAATACCAATGTCATTCACTCTACCCTTCATTGCCCAAAGGGTTTCTATCTTCTTTATTATTAAAGTGACACTATGTTATTCACCCAAGAAGTTTCACTATTAACACTTTTTCCCTTACTTTGTGCATATGTCTATTGGCTCTTTCTGGTGCACCCAAAACGAGTATTCCCATCTTCTTCCTCCCACATATTTATGCCTTCGTAATTCATATCTTGTTATTTTGTAGGCTTGCCCTGAATATCCTCTTCCTTGTGCAAATCACCACACTGCCAGTGAATCTCTTCACCATTATGCTGCAACAACATTTCCCTTCAAGATATTTGTTGCTCCTCCTACTTCTCTATCCAAGGCTTTTCCTTAAGCACCACCCTAGGCACCATTGATATCTCATGGGAGAACTGGTCTCCACATCCTTTATTTCGTTTGTTACTTTGTCGTAAGAGGTTACCCTCCTCTATATAATGTTTCGAAGATCGCCCTTGAAACCCCTTGTTATTCTTGTTCACCAATTTTGGCTGGAGATTATGCAGCGTTACTTGTTTGAAGTTACATAGTAGTGACCATATTCTTTTTTTTTCCAAGAGAAATGGAAGTATCTATTATTATTTGTTTTTTTTTTTTGTAGATATCAACTGATGTAAGAAGTCGTAACGAACCTGACTAATTCAATTTTTGGGGTTGAGTCTCTTCACCCTTCTCAGGAATTGAATCCATTATCTTTTGGGCATATCTAATCATGGAGTCTAGGTGGGTTGTCACTAGACCAACAACTCTCGAATATTATTATGTGTTTTTTAGTTGTGTGTTAACAACTAAATAAAATGCAAAACTTCTTAAATGATGTAATATCCATGTGTAAACTTTTTTAATATTAACAATGCATCAAAATTAAATTCTTTTTTTATTAAAATTTATTAATAGTGTAAATAAAATTTTCTAGGGTATTATTAAATTTCTAGTGTTTATGGTTGAAAATTATAGTAGTTAACTTTTTTTAATAATTATTAGGTATAGCACTTAATTATAGAGTATATTTAGATGAATTTTAATATTGTTTAACAATTTTTGTATAATTATATTTTAATATTTTCTTATATTAGAGGTGCAAGCAATTAACTATATGAAATAGAATTGTGGTCTAATGGAATTATTATTAGGGAAAAATATTTCTCCAGTAAAGTAGAAATGTTAAACCCTTATTATTCAAATATTTAAAGAAATGAAGTGTATGATTTTACAACTTGATAAAGCGTTGATGATGGTTGTTTTTTATTAGTGTGTTCATGAAACTTATTCACAAGTATTGATGGTTGCAGCTGGAAAAAAAATGTTAAGAACTCTGATACTCAATTCAACAGAATAAAAAAAACTTACAGCATTTTTTTTTTTAAAAAAAGAAGCTTATAGTAATTATGATAGAATGTCATTTCTGAAAATGTGATCATATATTCATAAAGTGGGTGAGAGTATTTGACTAAAATCATCTTGTGAGTGACTAACACTGAAATGCATTTATTTATTTATTTATTTTTTTGGGGGGAGGGGGTGGTTTTGAAATGCATTTATAATATCTCCTTAAATGGCTCTTGTTGGAACGATTCATGGGTAGACATAGCGTGTTCATCAACCGATTCAAACTGCGGTGACCGAACTGAAAAATCGATAACCGAATAAATTGAAAACCGAAAAATCAAAAATCGAAAAAAAAACGCAACTTTTAATTGAATTGGATCGGTTTTCGGATTGATTAATGAAAACCGATCCAATCCAAACCAATCCAATATATTAATTCTCCTCTACTTACTTTGGTCTTTCTCCAATCATAATCCAAAAATTTCTAAACCCATCAACTAAACCCAAGAAAAAATATTCACATCTCATCAATAAAATTTTATCTGCGTAGAGCATCATATCTCATCGGCAAAAAAAAAAAAAAATATTATCATTTACTGATGTTTTTGTATTTCAATTTTTTTTTACAAAGTCAATATATATATATAAAAGATGTTATCTGCATGAAACAAATTTTAAGATTTTCAAAAAAACCAAAAACCGATCCAATTCAAACCGAAAAAAATTAGATTGGATCGGATTTGAAAACAAGTCCAAACTGAATGGATGATTACATGGTCAAACCGAAGAGATTGAATCAGATGATTTTTGTTTCCAAAATCAATCTAATCCAGACCGCGAACACTCCTAAATAAACAGATCTATAGTTGAAGAGTCGGCACTAAAACTTTTTTTTAGCATTCTATGCATTGGAATACCAAGCTTAGGCAAATATAGTGTGCGGATTTAATTAACAAAATTACAAAACGGCTCTAATGCTCGAAATGCGGCCCAACCAAATGGGTTTTCAAGACCCAAATAAATAAGCTTCGGACTCATTCATTTTCATGGATTATTCTCTTACACTTTTGTTGTTAAATCACGTTATTATTATTGTACAGGCATTTGGTACGAGAGATATTTTTTTTATCTGAAAAAAAAGTTTCAAAGAATATGGAGGGGTCTTTTTTATCTCGGGTAAGTTACAAAAAGGTAGGTCAAAATTTTTGCTGAAAATGTTGAGTTATTTTTATAATGTTATGTTTGATTGGTTGTGAGATATATGTGGAAATGTGAAATGAAATTACAAAATTACTCACCATGCTTGAAAATTTGTTTTAAACATTCTTTTTATAACATGGTGTCTCCGTTTTATTAAATAAAGAATTTTATTAAACAAGATAACACATCTATTCAGGATATTTTTGCCACAAATTTTAAAAACAAGATTCTCGTTGATAGAATAAAAAAAATACCACAGTTTGAATGGTACTTTTTTTTGCTAATGTCCAGTTGAAAAAATAATTCTTGAAAAACATTTTATACCAGTATTTTTTAACTTATCTCATACCAAACATTGTAAACATTTTTCCTCCATCCCACCTTTCCAAAGATTCTATTAAAATCTTCATACCAAACACCCATCACGACTGTTAATTGAGTGGTCACTTACTTTAGGATCAGCCATCCTACTACTTAAAAAGTGGTGGGTGTTTATCGATTAGGCAGTAACACGCACGCATTCATCCTTTTTGTGTTTATCGATTAGGCAGTAACACGCACGCATTCATCCTTTTTTCCTATTGTATACCTAAAAGTCTAACAGGCAACAGTTACATTTAGATCTAACCTATAAAACTTGATAATATGAGTTTATATTATATGTGATAATATTTTAATTGTTTGATATGATTATCATATAGTATAAACTTATACAATATAATTTTTTAATACATCAAAATGATGTATACCATTTTTTTTTTTGAAAATGATGCATAACTTTATCAGGCCTAAGGGAATCAGATTAGGCTTGATAAGAGATTAATATATTAACATTGCTGGTCAATATAATTATCAAGAATTAATATATTATTTTAGAATTAATATATTAAAATAAAATATAATTTTTTAATATATTAATTTTTAAAATATTGGAGGTTTTTTATTTTTATAAAAACTAATATATTTTTTGGACACACTAATCAATAAATTATGTAAAAATTAATATGACATATTTAGAAAAATTATATAAATTTTTTATTAAAGAATATTTTTGTCAAAAATATTTTTTTATCCAATGTAATATTATATAATGCATTATGAAACACTGGATGATTATCATCTTATACAATACATTTATCTTTTATATAATATAATGTCAAACACTAAATAATATTAAAACTTAATTAGATCTTATGCTATACAATCTTATCGTGTAATATTGTGGACCAAATATTGCCTTATTCAATTTTATTATACATAGAGTTGCAGAATAATGGGATAATAGATAAGAATTAATTAATATTATTATTTTTAATGTTTTTATATATCATTTGACAAGGCTCTTCATTCTCCAGCAGCATCGGCAGTGTATTCTCCATGACGCCACGCGTCAAAGTGCAATCTCAGCACTAACTAACACAACTGCATGCAAGTCGCCACGTACCCAACCCAAATCTCATCACTTTTCTCTCTCTGTCTCATTGCGTCTGTTAGCAACAAACAAGGGAAGGAAGGAAGGAACCAAACAACTCTTGAACGACAAAAGCCAAAAATATTCAGTTCACCTCAGAATGGTGAAGCTAGCAACGGCTAGGGACTTTCGTACATACGGACCCGGCCTCACCAGGAACCGCTACGAGTACATAAACGCAGGGCTCTATCTCTTTTCCACTATCATCCTTGCTTCTGCTTTTGTGGCTCAACTTTCCTCCGAAGCCCAATCCTGTCTTGTGCTTTTTATCACTGCTTTCGGCATCATCCTCCTTGTCAATCTGCACGACCTCCTCGCCCATCTCGCCGGCATCGATTTCCGGTTACACTTGCTGGCGTTTGACCTTCAGTTCGCCTTTGTGGAGTTCGCTGTTCCTGTTGTTCAGATGCTGGGAACGCTTCTGAGCTTTCTTGGAGTTCTCTTCCTTTTTGTTCAGGTATTATCAATGACTGACCCGAGATAATTTAAAATTTACGCTAATTTAGTGATCTGATATATAATCAGATTTGAAGTTTCTTCCCTATTATTATTATTTATTTATTTTGGAAAGAAGTGTGTGTCATTTCAGACTTAAATTATGTCATTTCATGTGCACAAAACTGTGTGGGTCCATAAAAAAGAAAGAAATAAAGTTGTGAGTGCTACATTTTTGTATCTATGAAATCACATAAATTGTGTCATTTAAAATGATATATAATTTTTCTTTTTTTATAAAAAAAAATAATAAGGATAAGGGATGAGCTTATAAGTTTGAATGTAATCAAAAACAAAATTCGAGAATGGATTCTCTCGTGTTATTTTACATGATCATGAGAACTCTAGGGGATGTTTGGTATGATTATTTCATTTGAAATGACGAGAAAGTAGGACAGAAAATACTTTTTCAGCATGTTTGGTAAGAGGAAACTTAAAAAAAATCCCAGCAAAATTATTTCTCCATCATTCTCATTTGTAACTACACACTTTAAAAAAAATCCCACCCCACCCATGGTAATGTTTTTTTTTTCCCATGAACTTAGAATCTCATTTTTACTTTTTAGACAAAAATGCCCTGTTGTTTTTTATGAGCTCATTATCTCATTTCAAAATAATGGGTACTTTGGTAATTTCAGTTCAGATTTCCATGAGTATTTAATAATCAATCAAACATAGCATTAATAAAAATAATTCGACTTTTTTGGAAAAAATTTGGCCTACTAAACACCTTTTCATAACTTATCCGGAAAAAAAAAAAATTCACACCATATTCTTGGATATATTTTTTTTACCGATAGTTTTTTTTCTCCAATACCAAACGCTACTTAAATATACAAAAGTGAATCAATAATGATGATTTTGTAATTATGTATTTTAATATATATTTTTTCTCTTTACTTATCACCATTATTCACCTTTATATGTGTAGTATTTTAAATAACACGTTAGAGAATCTATTTTCAGTAAAATATTAAAATAGATAGTTATAAAATCATCGTTAATTCACCCTTGTATATAGTTAGAATTCTCGTGATTATGTTAAATAACACCGTGTTATTTTGATGAACTTGAGAGGCTTTGGCCCCTCCTAATGCGTATTACACATTTTGCATATGTTGACATGCTTGAAGTTGTGTAATTAGCGATATTTTAGATTTGACATTAAGACATTAACGGTTAGGTACTTAGATGGCGGTGCAATTGTTTTTCTTTTAATTAAGGTCACGTATTGGATTTTTTGTTTTTGTTTTTTTGTTTGTTAATCTAAATTGGGAAATATATATATATATTTTGTGTTGATCGGTGTGGAACAAAACGCAGGAAGAGAAAGGATATGGTTACTTGAAATTGGAAAAGCATGCTCTGAATATGCTGGTTACTGGTCCTGTACTATGGGTGGTGGGATCAATTCATAATTCGTGCCAAATTTATGAGAGAGCGGATGGTCATGTTCAAATCTTGCAGCAGTGTGTGCACATCCCTTTTTTGATGGGGAGTTTGTCATTCATGCTTGGTGCAATTCTCAATCATCACGAGCAATCTAGAGTCATCCACCATGGCATTCACTTGCTTGTAAGTAGCACTAGCCAGCAAGTGGTGTTTGATATGAATTCAATTAATTAACTAATAAGTTAGGAATTAATGACTTTTCTAAGAGTACTAATTAATGAGAGTGAATGTTGGTTATTGATTCAGGGTAGGACTTGGATCTGGCTAGGCATCTTGGGAAGCATAATGTTCTTTATTGGTGGCTTGACAAATTTAATTAAAGTGTTCAAGATGCAACAAATGAATGGAGTGAGGCTGGAGAAACTGCGAGGTGGAGCACAAGAGAGACTGTTATGTGCAAGGGAAAGACAGGTTCCTCTGATTCTGGAACATCAGACAATAAGTCATCATCAACCTGAAGAAACCAAAGTTACTTTACCTCTTCCTACTCCTTATAAGGATGTTCTTCTTGGTCAGACTGGATCATGATTGGTGGTGCTTATTGTGATCTCCTCTCTTCTTTCTTGATCCTATTAACGTTTTTCTGTTTCTTTTCTTGGAGGGACTTTTTCTTATTACATTATAATACATAGAAGTTTCCTCAGGCTATAGATTGATAGTAACTCATAGAATCATGCTATAAAAGAAGTAGAGATTAATCTTATCTTAGATTACAATTTCTAATGACACTAACATCCATTGTCTCCTAGTATATATGTTCATAAAATTACCTAGGTACTTGTTTATAAGTTTTCTTTCAACACCAGATGATCCGTAGTCACAACGGTCACAAAATTAATTTTTTCTTATTCAAGATAGCCCTGGTGAGTGATAAAGGAATTTTATTTATCAGAAACCAATATTTTTAAAGGGACAAGATCAACTTAGTGTAATAAAAATAAGTCTTTAGCCGTTCATTTTCATGTAAGAGATTATATTCATTAATTAATTATTAATTTTTAATATATTATAATCATCTGATAAATAAATGACTAAGATGGAATATAAAATTTATTATTCGTACATGTTCATTTTAAAAACTATCGGTCATATATTGAATCTAATTTAGTCACGAGTTTAGTCGTACAGTATTACTTTAACGGTTGAATCGTTAATAATTAAGAGTTATTAATTTGATTTTGATGAGGTGGTAAGTATAATTTTCCTTATTAAATATATATAATAATATATAAATAATAACTTAAAGTAATATACTTTCAAATAGATTCAATTTTTAAATATTTTTTTTAGTTCACAGTATATTACCATTAAATTTATTTATATAGTAATGTAATAAGTAATAAAAATTTCCCATTAATGAAATTTTCTTTTTGCTTGATGAGTGACTGTTGAAGGAGTTAATGAATTATTTTATTAAGAAAGAAATATAATTTTAATTAAACAATTCAATACATAAATTTAATTTATTTAATAAGTGTGAGTATGACAACCATTTTGTTCCTACTGTTAAAAAAAATCTATTTCTATGCCTTAAAAGAAAAAAAACGTGTTTGATAATATGTTCAATTTTTATTCCTGAGAATTACATTTGATAACACAAAAATAATAGAATAAAAAATCATTCCTATTAAACATAATTTTTTCAAATCATCACTTTTCTTTTCATATGGTGTAGTGGTGGTGGTTGTGCGTCGGTAGAGGTAGTGGCGGTGGCATGGTGATGGTGATATGATGGTGGTGGTGACGATAGTGACTGCAGCGACGGTGGTGACAATGGAGGTGGTGGTGGCGATGACAGTGGTGATTGTGGTTACGGTGATGGTAGTGGCGGTGGCACCTTGATGGCAATAGTAGTGGTGGCGATGGCATGGTGTGGTTGTATTATTGGTGATGACATGATGGTGCCGATGGCGGCAGTGGCTACAATGGTGGTGGTGGTGGTGGTGGTAGCCGGAGATAAAATTATCTCGAGCAGTTTGAGAAATGATAAGCCCATATATATATATATATATATATATATATATATATATAAATATATATATAGGAGAGAGATCATTTGACTCAAGAGTAAGACTTATAAGTCTTACTCTCCATCCTAACCGTTGATTTTCGTCCATCCAACGGTTATAATTTAGGAAGTTATATTAATTAATTAATTATTAATTATACTATTAATGACAACCGTTGATTTCCGTCCATCAACGGCTGAGATTTGGAGTAAGACTTAAGAGTCTTACTCTGGAGTCAAAAGAACCCTCCCTATATATATATATATATATATATATATATATATATATATATATATATATATAGGTAGGATCCTTTGACATTGGTGTCAAATTTGAAGTTTGACACCTCATCTGAGAGCCGTTAGATAAAAAAATCAATGGTGTCACATGCGTAAAAATCAGAGCCATTAATATTTTTTTATCGAACGGCTCTTAGATGAGGTGTCAAACTTTAAATTTGACACCAGTGTCAAAGGATCCTACCTTATATATATATATATATATATATATATATATATATATATATATATATATATATATATATATAGGATCTTTTGACACTGTTGTCAAACTTTAAAATTTGACATCAAATCATAACCGTTAATTGTCACTAATGAACTTTTATCATTTATTAAGAAATAATAATTGATTAATAAGTTTGATTCCCAATAAATGATAACCGCGGGTTGACGAAAATTAAATGTTAGAATTTGGTATCAAATTTCAAAATTTGACATAGTGTTAAAGGATCATATATATATATATATATATATATATATATATATATATATATATATATATAATGTATTAAAAAATAAATTAAAATAAAATAAAGAGAAGTATACTGTATACATCATCCTTTAAGGAGATTATTTATTATGTTTCGGGATCACCATTGATTGGATCCCGCTGTCAAAAAATAGGAAAGACGAAAAGCGGAAGACAGAAAATAAAGACTAAAAAGAAAAAGAAAAATTATGTGTTGAGAGAGACCCTCCAAATCTTTGTGTGATCCCCGAGTCTAAAAAATATTTTCTCCTTTAAGAGAGCCAACGCTATTACAGACACAATGATGAACCACCTAACCGTACGCGTACAATATTATTGGTAACTTTGCCGTAATTAGAAGCTGTTGTCCCATTCTCAAGCATGATCTTAGGTTGGCCAAGGGGAGAACCTATATTCATGTCAAAAGAGGAAGCTTTTTGAATTTAAAAGGAATTATAAAAGAAAGTTTGAGTTAAAATAAAAAGAAATTTTTTTTTTAGTAAAAAAGAGTAGCGAGTTCGGTACTCACATGGTATTAAAAAATTCCGGGCCAAGGGAGGTTAAGTTCCAACAGTGTTTTGGGAATTTGGCTACAGTTTTATGGGGAAGTCCGGAACTGAACAAATAACTGAATAAGTAGTTCATTTGGCATCAGAGAATTGAGCAGGTGAGGGTGATAGTATGTGTTTGATACTTCTCAGTATTATTTTTGGGAGGAATTTAAAGCTTTAATTCTGAGTCCGCTGCGAATCGGACTAGTCACGAAACGATGAACCGATTGAAATATTGAAAAATATATATATATGGGAGAGAGATCTAATAAAAACAAAACCATGCTTTATGGTTACACTCCATCATCTAAAACAGTTATCTAATACAGGGCGCATATAGCAGTTGAAATTTCTAATACAAAGTTTGGGTGGAAAAAAAAAGGTAATCAACTCCTGCTCAACTTAAACAGTCCTAATTAGGGAAAAACATAAAACAAATAAAAACAAAATAATTTCGTTTTTGTTTTGATGAAAGCTCGAAGTGAGATAACTTCTCTCGGTAATCACATTTAACTAACTTCTAATTGAAATTGCACGTTAACGCCATCAAATCAATTACTAAAGTTAACCATTCATTGAAATATGTGAACACTTGTTAATTCAATTAATCACCTATTCTTTGTGTTCTCATCACAAGTCAGAAAATATAAGTGGAATACCTCTTAACAAATAAGTCGCTAATAGGCGCAGCATTGTACGATGGATTACTACTTCTAGCAAATATTCTATAACAATGCATATAGAAGAAATAATTTCAAATAAGATCTTCCGAAAAGATAGCTTTGATAAAACAAAATTACAAAATCCAATCTCAACAAACTAATTAAAACTATGTGCAAATACTCGCCACTAATAAGCAATCCATGCAGAAGAGAAGCTTGATTCAAACTTACAAAAACAAAAAACAAAAAAAAATGCCCGTTTTTCACCACTATTCTTCAAGTATGATCCCCTTCTCGCTAACATAAATACCATCAAGGAACTTCCGGGTATCCTTATTTTTAACATGGCATATCTGTTGCAAAAATAATAATAATAAAAAACTAAACAAGAGAAAAATCAAATAAGGTTTGAGCGTGGGCATGCGCATAAAGAAAGAGAGAGTGTACCTGTTTAATGAGAGCACAGGACCGAGAAACTAATTCAATATCATTACCATCCAAAACCAACTCATCCTTAGCCTTTTCAGATCGAACAACGGAGACGCCTTCAAGCATGTCCACTTTCCTCACCTAAAGGATATACAGTCACCAAACACATAATTCAAATTAATAGTAAAGAAACCATATTAACACAGTAATATACCGGTAAAAATCAGTGATTTTTACTATTCTCTGTCATCTATAGCAACCTTAACAAAATCACACACATGAAATTAAATTATTTGAAAATCAACATCAGTCATCAATAGCCACGTCATTCGATACTATTGTCTGTCATCTATAGCAACCTTAACAAAATCAAAAGATTCCACGTCATTTTCTTTTTATAATTCGAAAAAAAAAGAAGATTAACAGACCTCCTTTTCGCCGAGGAAATTTCGGATCTCCATGGAAGAGTTGTTGTTGGTAATGCTAACGTTGATGGGGAAGTGAAGGGACACGAACCTCATCTTGTAGCGGCAGCCCTTGGTGACGCCGGTGACGAGATTCTCGACGTGGCTGAGGGCAGTGCGTATGGCGTCGGAGGTTTTGCAGGATCCGAACCAGTCGTTGATCTTGAGCTTCTTCTGGCCGTTATCGTCGGTGATGAGTTGGAAATCGAGATTGAGATGCTTCAAGTCTTTGACCAACTTGCCACGAGGGCCTTCCACTTCGATGACCTTGGCGTGCACCTTGATTCTCACGCCATCGGGAATGTTCATCGTCTCCGAAGAAAGGATAGTCTTCATCTCTGCAACTACCTCCTTTTCCTCTCTCTCTCCCTACCGCCTTTGTGTTTGTGTCTCCAAAATGAAACGCGCAAAACCCTATATGAGAATGCTGTGTATTTGCCATTGGGCTTTAGGTGGTGTTTGGTTTGGAGTTTTTCAAGAGATATCTATGTTTCTCAAGTATGGCTTAGCTTTTAGTTCAAGATATTTTCACCAAAAACAATTTGTATGGATTTATGAGAAACATAGATATCCGCACTGTTTAGAAACACAATTTGAAGGTGAGATTTTTTAGAAAACCGGTTATCTCACTTTTAATGCATTGTTGATTTCATAAAGTTACCTAATTTTTCCAGTAAAAATTTTCTCCACCAAACAACTTTTTTTTTACATTTTTCTACCTATCTCACTTTATCTCACTTTCCAATCATTTCTCTATATATTACATTTCTCTGCTATTCCAAAAAAATTTCCTCGACCAAACACCCCCTTACTATATCACGTAGGATTTAGGGTTTAGCAAAATAGCATATGCTTGGGATTTGAAAAAAACTTATCTAAAGAGTAAGTCGATGAGCTTACACGTCCATTTATATCGCATTATTTATTTTAATTAAAATAAAATAAAATAAATATTTAAGTAATTTTAATTTATAAAATGATATTATTATTTGTTTTAATTCTTAGTAGATATTATATATTTGATAGACTTAAATAAGATAATAGTGTCTGTTATGGATATGAATATCATATCCCAACTACTCACCTAAGAATTTACTAAGAGATAGATTCATGAATATCTCAACAGCATTAAACAATCAAAGTATACAAGATAAGGGTCACATCCCAACAGAAAGGGAGCTGAACCCTAATGCAATCTGGGGAACTCACAAGGCCCAGGCTAGGAAGGTAATCCTTATAAATAAAGAGCCTAAGGACCCCAGGTACACACTTTTAACCTATTGACTAATATTGCCCACACTGTGCACACACCCACTCCTTGGCTATAAGTCTATTGCTTGTGCGCAGTGATTGAGACATCAGCTATAAGCCTAGTATACACCTGATTATACAATATCTCTGAGCGTATACCTCACGGTATAGCAATACGGTTTATCCAGGACCGAACATTGGCGCCGTCTGTGGGAAACGATAAATTTTGATTCCCATTCCACGATGACGAACACCCGTTCGACATCTAGCACTGCCCAAATGCTGCCACACCAATCCCAGCCTCAGCCTTATGGCATGCCTCCGCACCAACCTGCATTGGAACATCTCCAATCAGTCGCGACCCCTGTGCTGGTAGAGGTCCAGGTCGGCGAGGTCGGCACTCAAGGACTGCCCTCCACAACCCAGCCCAACAAGACAGCGGGCCCAGTGCGCCCACCTCCACATAATGAACAATCCAGGGACATAACCACTGTGGCCATGAATGCGATCCTCCACAGGATGCACGAGATGGAGAACAGGTTCATGGCTCAACAAGGGCTGAATGCCCAGAGGATGGAGGCGCTGGAGGCCGAGCTGCGAAATCAAGACCTTGCGGGACAAGCTGGAGGAGTAGGCCGAGGTGGAAGCGCAAGCCAGGCTAGTGAACCACAACATCAAAACGCCGCCACGGCAGAAGGAAATATGCAGAATCCCCGCCATGACAACCACCAGGAGGGCGGAGGACCAGTCAACTACCAAGGAGATAATTATCTCCTTGATGAGGAGGCTAACGATAGCCCATTCACTGAAAGGCTCATGAACTTGGCAATACCGTCGAGATTCAAGAGTGCTAAGATACCACCGTACGACGGAAGTCAAGACCCGGAGGCCCATTTAGAGGCTTTCAAGACCGAAATGTTTTTCAATGGGATAACTAGACCTATCAAGGCCAGAATCTTCGCGACGACGTTAACAGGCCAGGCAATGGCTTGGATAACCAGGCTTCCCAGGAACTCGATTAAGTCGTTCGAGGACCTAGCCCGAACTTTCCGGTTGAATTTCGCAACAAGCAAGGCGCATCCAATGTCGGCCTACGCCTTGGGAAGAATCCGACAGAAGGAGAATGAATCATTGAGGAAATACCTCGATAGGTTCAAAGATGTCGCCCTCAAGGTTCAGAATTTAACTGAGCCAATACACTTGCATCTGATCATCTCGGGATTAGATGGTGATTCTCCACTGGTGAAGTCAATTTACAAGAACCCGATCAATGACCTGGAGGAGTTCCGACGAAGGTCGGACAAATACATTGACGTGGAGGACATGCAGAAGGCTTATGTGGAATCCAGAGGTCGAAGCCCGAATCGCAGGAGGAAATAGAAAGTACCTGAAGGAGGTCATGTCAGTAAGAGACAGGCCAACCTTCAAAGGGAAAGCCAACAATCCTACCCCCCCCCCCCCCCCCGCCAAGGTTGTTCTTCACTCAGGAAGAACTAGAAATGGTTGTACCCGGACACACTGACGGCTTGGTGATCACTGGAGTGCTAGTCAACTGTCGGGTTAAGAGAATCTTTATTGATCTCGGGAGCTCAACAGACATACTTCTCTGGGATGCTTTTCAGAGGATGAACCTGGACGAGAAGGACTTGAAACCATGCATCACTGAGCTGGTCGGGTTCAATAGAGCGTCATCCCCCCCAAAGGGCTACATTGATTTGAAGCTGACCTTAGGGACGAAGGACTCATTCTGTGCTGGAAGGGTTCATTTCGTCGTAGTAGACACCGAGTTGTCCTACACTGTGATCATTGGCCGACCTACAATACACGACTGGGACATGCTGATCTCCACCAAGCATCAAGCCCTGAAGATGTCGGGGGCAAAGAACGAAGTTATCACCATAAGAGGGGATCAGGAAGAATCCAGGGAGTGCTACTATGAGACCCTACAAGACAATCAAGGAGGTCCGTCCTCTCCCCCTCGACACAAAAATGGAGGATGTAGGGACCAATCCCTACACCCATGTGGAAACGAAGTAAACTTGGTGGAACTGGACATGAGGGAGGAGCTCCAAGCCCCTCGTCCAGAACCCCAAGGAGAGCTGGAAGACGTCAGCATTGAGAAGGAAGGAAAAGGGCACACTAGGGTGGGAAAAGGCCTTGAGGACGAGTTCAAAAGGGAGCTGGCCGCTTTCCTAAGTGAAAACTCCGACGTGTTCGCATGGAAGGCTTCGGAGATCTCGGGAATAGACCCAGCTTTCTGCTGTCATAAGCTCTCTATGTACCCAGGATCGAAGCCAGTGTCCCAAAAGAAGAGGAAGATAGGATCTGACCGACGTCAGGCTTTGAACGAACACGTGGACGAGCTGTTGGAGGCCGGCTTCATCAGGGAAATACAATACACCACCTGGTTGTCCAACATGGTGATGGTGAAGAAATCGAGCGGGAAGTGAAGAATTTGCGTGGACTACACCGACCTCAATAAGGTCTGCCCGAAAGATTCATACCTGATGCCAAACATTGACCAGCTAGTTGACAATTCATCAGGATTTCAACTATTATCTTTCATGGATGCATACTCCGGGTATAACCAAATCCCGCTACACCCTGATGACCACGAGAATACCTCATTCATCTCAGAAAAGGGAAACTTTTACTACAATGTCGTGCCTTTTGGCCTCAAGAATGCAGGGGCAACCTACCAAAGGATGATGAACCGTGTTTTCCAAGATCAAACTGGAAGAAACCTAGAGGTGTACATCGACGACATGATCGTCAAGTCAGCGCATATAACTACACATATAGCCGACCTCAGGGAAACATTTCAGCAACTGAGAGCTCGAAAGATCATATTGAACCCGGCCAAATGCGCCTTCGGAGTACCAGCTGGAAATTTCTTGGGCTTTATGCTCACCAACCGGGGAATTGAGGTCAACCCTGACAAATGCAAGGCCGTCCTTGAGATGAAGCAACCAGAAAACAAGAAAGAAATCCAACAACTCACGGGTCGCCTTGCGGCCTTAACAAGATTTCTGCCCAAGTCGGCAGAAAAGGCTTTGCCTTTCTTTAAGCTCCTTTAAAAAGAGGCAGAGTTCGGATGGGGGGAAGAATGCAAAAGGGAATTTGAAAATATAAAGAGTTGCCTGGCCACCACCCCCGGTACTGTCCAAGCCAGAGCCTGGAGAAACATTGATCTTATACCTTTCTGTGGGCGAAGAGGCCATCAGCGCCGCTTTGGTAAGAGAGATCGACAAATCACAACAACCGATCTACTTCTTAGGCCGAATACTGCAAGGACCTGAACTCCATTACCAGAAGCTCGAGAAGGTGGCGTTTGCTCTCCTTACCACGACAAGGAGACTCCGACCTTAATTCCAAGGGCACCGAGTAGTCATGAGAACCAACCAGCCCATCAGGCAAGTGTTACACAAGCCGGATCTAACTGGGAAGATGATTAACTAGGCTGTCGAGCTCTCCGAGTTCGACATTTCATACGAACCTCGGCAGGAAATCAAATCTCAGGTGCTGGCCGATTTCATCTTAGAGTTAACCCCGTCCAAAGAAAAGAGAGAAGAGAATGAAGATCTCTGGACGATATACGTCGATGGATCCTCAAACTCTAAAGGGAGCGGAGCCGGGGTAATAATTGAAAGCCCAGAGGGAGTGTCCATTGAACATTCACTTCACCTAGCATTCCCAACCTCAAATAACCAAGCTGAATATGAGGCTTTCAAAGCAAGGATTGTGCAAGCAAAGGAGCACGGAGCAAGAAGGATAAAAATCCTCAGTGATTCGCAGCTGGTAACTTCACAAGTTGAAGGAAAATATCAAGCTAAGGGGCCTCTCATGATGAAATATCTCCAACAAGTCAAGGAGCTGTTGGCCGAATTCGACGAGGTAATAATCCAGTACATACCCCAAAATGAAAACAGCAGGGCAGACATCCTGTCAAAGCTCGCCAGCTCGAAGGGATCGGGAAATCACCGAACTGTGATACAGCAAAGCATCCTAGAGTCGACCTGCATCATGGTCATAACCGCGACTGAGGATTGGAGAAGGCCAATAGTGGCCTACTTGGAAAAAGGAGT